GCAACCATATAATCAACAGCAACCATATAATCAACAGCAACCATATAATCAACAGCAACCATATAATCAACAGCAACAGCAGCAACTTCATACATATGGCCATTCTCCATCATCTAATACTCCATTACAACATAATCAAAATTGTAATAATGATGAGGTTCGCTTTATAAAATTTTGTATGTGTATATTTATGTATGCACTTTGTTAATAATAATTATTGTTTTTGGGAAAAATCTACTAGTCGAGTAATCAATCTGAAACATTCATCTATATTCCTTTAACACCTCGGCTTTATTACAAATCATTGATGAATAAATGTATAGAATATGAATTGTCTCATCGTTCAGAAGAAGATAGTTCTCGTAAAATTCTTTCAAAAAATACTTTGACTTTGTTAAATGTATGTGCACTTCATTGGAGAGTTTCTCCGGTATTTCGTTGGCTACAATATCTTGATGTTATTAGGTCTCGTTATGATGCTGAGGATCCCCTTATATCATTAGAACACATCAGAGAAGGGATTCATTTGTTGAAAGAAGCTACAAAACTACGAGATGTTTCAACTTGGACAATTTCTGATGTAACATTTATTTATTTGTTTATTCACTACTTTCATTCATTCATTCATTCAATACAAATAAATACTTTTCTCTTTTATACTTATGATGCAATTTTTATATATTTATATTTTAAATTTAAAATATCACAGAAAAAAGAGCTTGTGGAAGTATACATCGGAATTCACAATTCTTTGCTTGATTGGTTGAAAGAAGCATTGGGCAAAGAAGGGTTGATTAAAATAAAAACATCTCTATTTGAACCAGTTTTCTTCCTGCTGGATACTATTTATGATAATGAGCTGTTTCATGCTGCTTATCCTGATACTTCTGCTTTCTATAATGAACTACGGGAACGTATTAGGGTATTTATATAATGCTACTTTAACATCATTTTTATAATATATTTGTTAATTAATTGACAACTTCAAGTTACTTAAAATTTTTATTTTTATTTTTATATAATTTTATATATGTATGATATTAAAAGAAAGTTGCATTTGATATATATCAAGAAAAACGAAATGAAATTTATGGTCAAGAAGTTGCAAATGAAGTTCAAACATTAATTAAGAAGGTAAAATTTATTTTTTACTTTATCCACATCAATAGCAGAATGAACCCATTCAGGTGTCTTATTG